CTTGGATTCCTCGTTGCGAGAGTTTCGATTTGATATATTATTTATCAATAGTTTACAAAATTAACATTAAGGAAAACGAGTTATATTGTGATATGAACACCTCGAAAACCTAGGATTTGTTTATAATCGAATGGGCTATACTAACTTTACGCCCAATTCGTGTAGGATTTGTGTTCAAATTTAGTTCAAATTTTACTTTAAATCGGCGATTTTCAACGCTTAGGAAACTAATCGGCCGATAAATCGGTCAAACGATTAGTCAATCCGATTAGGAGTAATTCGCGGTGGTATACCTCCGCCGAGCGCCTAGGCGGCCGATATTTTGAATAAGATCAATTATTATTATTTCTTTGATTTTGTCAGAAGTTGAAATTAATTTAAGCAAGAACAAAAAAAAAAACCACTATTCTTTTTTCCGGTAACAACACTACCGTTGGGCAGCTTAGCTGGTTAACCCCACAAACCAAACCCGGTTCGGATAAACCGGTTCTCTATTCAAACCGGAATTTTGATACCGGAATTACCATCGGCCAGCTAAGCTGGTTAACCCCACAAACCAAACCCGGTTCGGATAAACCGGTTCTCTATACAAAATTCCGGTTTGGGGTTCACTACAAGAAAACATAGCAAATTCCGACAAACCAAATAGTCGGAAATTCGTTGGAAATGGATGTTTCCGACGAATTTCCGACTACACCAAGTTTGTCGGAATTCTCTGGTCGGAAAACAATATTCGTCGGAAATTCGTCGGAAATTTCTGTCGAGATGATTTGTCGGAAAATTCGTCGGAAATATTTGTCGGAAAATCGTCGGAAATATTCGTCGAAAGCCCGTCGGAAAGGTGTCGGAAATGTCCGTCGGAATAGCGACGGAAAATTGCCGACGATATCCCGACGGCATATTCCGACGCCATTCCGAGGAGATTCCTACAAACGACGCCGTAAGATCGAGTACGATTCCGACGATTTTCCGACCACAAATCGTCGGAAGTTCGTCGGAACGTTCCGACGAATTTCCGACAAAATATAATATAATTATATATTTAATAGTTTTCGACGAATTTCCGACAAAATATAATATAATAATATATTTAATAGTTTCTGACGAATTTCCGACAAATCGTATTTTTTTATTATTTTCCGATGAATTTCCGACGAAATATTATATTTTATTAAAAAAATATATTTATATTTTATTGTTAATTAATATAATTAATTAAATTAAATAATATTAATTTAATTTAATTGTAATAATTCAATAAAAACATAATTAAAAAAAATAAAATTCACCACATAATATAAAAAAGATAATTAAACATTAATAAGTTCTTAAACAACTAAAAATTATTACAAACGCGAATATTATATATTATCAAATAGAGTGTCAACGTTATTTGTTTCATTTTGATTTCCGGGTTGATCTTGGCGAGAAGGCGGAACGATGTCGGGATGAAGACGGGCCATCATATCCATCCAAAACTTACAATCTTTTAATTGAGTCTTCAACTCGATGATTTCGGCTGCGTTTGCTTGACAATTCACGTGTGCATGTGAATACGACGAACTTCCGCCCATGTCTTCGTCATACGGAATGGAACCGTATCCAAATCTACGTCCTTTTTTAACTTCAACTTGCTATTATAATGAAAATGTTGTTAGGAAATAAAACATATTATCTAAATTATAATATTTTAATTACTATTACTTACCGATCGGAAAATATCGTTTTTTTCTGCTTGGGTGAGTTGATAATCATCGGGCGTGTCTGATGTTGACTCAATTGTGTGAGTTTCTCTTTCTCCATCTCCCGACATCGACGAGCTATTGCCTCAGCTTTTTTATCAACAAATGTCCCGTCCGATTTCCGTTTGTGAGTCTCCTCCATGAATGTCACCATATAGGGAAACTCACCGGTTTCAGGATTACGCTTGCATTTAAAATATTTATTAGTTAAAAATTTACAATAAAATTTATTATGATGCCAATTGAAATGTAAAAAATTTAAATTTTTATTTACCATTTTTTCCTTTTTCCGGACATATGGCATTGATCCACAAGTATGTTTAGCCATGCCATAGCCTCCGCGTTCACTCTTGCGATTTTGAGAATTAGTTTCACTACGGGACTTATTTTGCTCTTGTAACCAATATGCAATAAGCCCTTGCCAAACGTTTTCTCGCATCCATTTTGGCTTTTCTTTCCCGTTAAGCCATTTCTTTTTCCATCCATAAACATAATCCAATAAACGTACCCCACATATCTCCTCAAATTTTTCTTGTACTTCGCCCGTAAGACCATAATCCCAATTAAATTTTTGCTACAATGTTAAACAATTTAAAATATATATATTTTTAGTGTTGTAAAATTTTAAAATTTAATTTTTTTAGCTACAACTGTGATCATCAACACAATATGATAGATTTGATGCATAGCCATCAGGAAATTTAACATCATCAATTATCCACTGAAAAAACTTGGTCTTCTTGCTTGCATCTAATCTCCATATAGGAATAGGACCTACTCCGTCTGCAAGCAAATGGAGATCCTCGCGCGCACATATATCGGGTAAATCCATTCTGGATTTGACATTATCTTTAGTCTTACCCGCGACATTTAAAATGGTGTTAATTATATTGTCAAAGAAATTCTTCTCAATATGCATAACGTCAAGACAGTGGCGGAGTAGATGATTTGTCCAGTACGGTAACTCCCAGAAGATACTTTTTTTATGCCAATTATGATGTTCTCCATATCCATCAATTCGGACATGGCCATTACCCCCTACCGATGCTGTACAGTCAACATCAAAATCACGAAATTGATTCAATATATAATCACCATCATACTCAGGTGGCGGTGGATCACGGATACTCTTGTTCTTGCGGAACAACGTCTTACTACGACGATATGGATGAATTCGTCTTAGAAAACGACGATGACAATCAAACCAACTTGATTTCCGGCCATGTCTTAGTTGGAAGGCATCTGTATTATCTTGACAATATGGACATGACAGTCTTCCATGAGTTGTCCAACCCGATAACATGCCATATGCGGGAAAGTCACTAATAGTCCACATCAATACAGCACGCATGTTAAAATTTGTCTTTGTGGAGACATCATATACCCAAACCCCTTGGTACCATAACATTTTTAACTCTTCTATAAGCGGCTGTAGGAACACATCAAGTGAACGACGAGGGTGGTTTGGACCAGGAATCAAAATGGTTAAGAAAAGAAATTCTCTTTTCATGCAAAGGGAAGGTGGGAGATTGTAAGGGGTGACTATTACTGGCCACAAAGAATATTTTCTACCTGACTTTCCAAATGGATTGAATCCATCCGTGCATAAACCAAGATAGACATTCCTTGGTTCATTAGCAAAGACTGGATATGTAGAACAAAAATGTTTCCAGGCCGATGCATCCGATGGATGTGAAATCTCCCCGGTGAACTCATGTTCAGCGTGCCATCGCATACCCTCCGCTGTCCTATCTGACTGATACAACCTCTTCAACCTATCAGCCAAGGGCAAATACCACATACGCTTATATGGTATTTTGTTTCGCCCACCAGTAACCTGAAACCTTTCAGCACCACAGAAACGACATTGAGACATATTTACATTATCTCCCCAAAAAATCATACAATTTTCTCTACACACGTCAATCATTTGGAATGGTAAACCTAGCCCAGATACCAATTTTTGGATTGCGTTGTATGAAACTGGCGATAAATTATCTTCCGGTAGATAATCGTGGATAAAATCAGCCCACGCATCAACACAATCTTCACTTAAATTGTAGTCTGTTTTGATGTTCATCATACGTGTTGCGGCGGATAAAGGAGAATGACCCTCTCTGCATCCTGCATATATCGGATGATTTGCAGCATCTAACATATCGAAAAATCCCTGTGTTTCTAAGTTGGGTTCCTCCGCAACATTAGTATTTTCTACGTTATCATGAAATTCACCACTACCACTTCCAATTACATTATCTTCTTCCTGGTGAATATGCTCATCGCTAATTATAACGTTTTCATCTCTTCTTTCACGACTACTACTAGGACCCGATCTAAAATCCTCCCCGTGAGAAAACCATATATAATATCCCGGTGTAAAACCTCCCCAATATAAATGATTCCAAACAATGTATTTTGCAAGAAAATGATCATTACAACATTTGACACAAGGACATGCCATAATACCTTCGATACGCGTCATTTCTTGATTAGATGCAAACTGCATGAATTCCATTAAACCTTCCTTGTACTCCTGCCTCATAGCTCCGGTCTCATCATCTAATCGATTATACATCCACTCTCTAATTTTATAAATATTATGAGAAGACATTTTTTTTTCCAAGATATTTTTGTGTTTCTGTTTTTTTTTTTTCAACTTTTTTCTTGTGTCTATGATTCTTTCGTTGTCTAGTATATATATAAAACTTTTCCGACTAACATTTTGTCGGAAATTCGTCGGAAATTCTAAAGTGGTAACCACTTTAGATTTTCCGACAACTTTTCCGACTAATTTTTGCGATCAAGTTGTCGGGATTACGTCGGAACATGTGCAGTGAATAATCACGTGTTTACCTCGTTGTTTCCGACAAATTTTCCGACAAGTTTCCGAGCAGTTTCCGATGACATTGGATTGTCGGAATTTTCCATGGTTTCCGACAAATATTTCCGACGAAATTCCGACGAATTTTTAATCGTCGGAAAAGTTTTTATGTTTCCGACGAATTTCCGACGAAATATTATTTTCTTGGAAGTTTGTCGGAAATTCCCCGGAAATCCGTCGGAATAATTCCGACTAAAAATTTCGTCGGAAATGTTCGTCGGAAATTGCTATGTTTTCTTGTAGTGGTTCTCTGCTGTCTGCTCTAGATCTCTAGCTAGATCTGTTTTTTGATTCTATGAGAGGGATCATCAGCAGAGGAAAGAGAAGACTAAAAAACTAATTGATTCTAACATAATTCAGAACTAATTCAATAATTCAATGTGTTATTTATGTAGAATTTGCGGAGTGACCTTGAGAGATTGAGTTTTTTACATAGATTACTTTTTGTTCGAAAACGAATCCTTGTCGAATTCTGGAAAAAGTCATTAACGACCTTTCATGGCCGACATGGACATTTGACAAACGGTATAAGTTGCATCATCTAGATGTTCCATGGAGGATGAACAAGTGTCATCACCGGGGGATTTAGGCCTATCTATATCAACTGTTTCACTTCCGAGCATAAAAACCACCGGCCACATCGTCGGTCTGTCTTGTGCAAGCTGTTGAACGCACAAGAGACCAATCTGTATGCACCTTAGAACTTGATCTGGTCGAAATTCTGTTGAATATGTAATGGCCGGATCGACGATCTCTAGCCCCTTTCCTTCGCTCCAGTTACTCCATATCTGTGTGTAAAAATACCAAAAGCTTTTTTAAGTGTTTAATTTATTTTTAGACACAAAGGTAGAATTTGATTGTTTTAAGCTTACGTAGCTTAGAAGAGATTCTCCGTCGTTCAGTGCAGGGAACCTATTGTTCCTCTTTCCACTGAGAATCTCAAGAAGCAAGACCCCAAAGCTGAAAACATCCGATTTTACAGAGTATATCTTGTCCCTCAAGTATTCCAGCGGCATGTAACCACTGCATAACGAAATATTTAACTCTTCACAGTTTAAGAAAATAATGAAGATACGGTAGTATATATAGTTCCTTACAAAGTTCCGGCAGCGGTTGTCGCAATAGCTTCTGTCTCATCCCTTGCCAGTGTCTTTGCCATCCCGAAGTCCGAGATCTTTGGGATCATGTCTTTACCAAGCAAGATATTGCTTGGTTTCAGGTCAAGGTGGATAATCTTGAATCGGGAATCTTGGTGAAGATATAAAAGTCCTCGAGCAATACCAATAATAATGTCAAATCTCTTTTTCCAGTTTAAAGAAGAGCTTCGGGTTGTGTCTGTGAAAGAATCAAACCAAGTCAAATGTACATATATAAGTAATGCATGTTAACTCTTCAACTAGAGCTTCCAAAAAAGATAGGCACTATACTAACCGAAAATGTACGAGTCCAGTCCTAGGTTTTCGAGGTGTTCATATACTAGGATCTTCTCGTTTTCGTCAGAGAAAAAACCGATAAGTCGGATAATGTTTATATGCTGAACTAGCCCGATGAGTCTCACCTCGTTGTCAAAGTTTTCAATCCCATTAGGTGTCATACTAATAAGCCTCTTGACAGCAATCTCTACCCCGTTAAGTAACCGGCCCTGTCAGTCACCACATATTTCGTTAATAACAGAATCTAGCCAATTTCAGAGGGCTTCTTATAAAGAGTTCATATATATTGTAGAAATAAAAGAAAACTCTAAAAAAAATCAGTGCATATCAAAGAGCCGTTAGGCTACTATGAAGGTTCTAGTGATTTCCTTAATAGTTGTATGTGTATATTTTGTAGAATCATTAGATTCCATCCATAGCTTGTAAAGAGTATTATATTATACCATTGAGAGATCAAATACATACCTTGTAAACGCTACCAAAACCACCTTCTCCAATCTTGTTGGAGTCAGAGAAGAAGTTGGTGGCTTGGGAAATGACTTCAAAATCCATGAGATGAGATTGCCAATCCTCGGTTATGCTGATGTCCATGGTTGGATTTTCACGTTGACACACTGATTTTCGTTAAGACATGAATGCAAAAACAAATCAAGAATAGTCTAACGAACAAGAGGAAAAAGAATATTATATATCAACAGAATAATTAATACCAATTGTTCTTCGGGTAAATTGCATGTTATGGCAATTGACGAAGTTTTAATTTCATGTTTTGGCAAAGTGAGAATGGGCTTTCAAGTTTTGACAATTTAGCCAAAATCTGACCATTTTACCCCTACCGATGTACTGTTCACTGTACGGTTCAGTTAAGCGTACGGTTCAGTTAAGCGGTTCACTGTACGGTTCAGTTAAGCGGTTCAGTTACGTACACTGTTCCGGTTAAGCAATATATTTCGTTCTTAATTGATTTGTGCGGGAGTACAGTGACAAGTTGGGATTAATAACATTAAAACACAATGAGACATCAGTATTTAATGCCCAAAAAGTTTAGACATGACTCATGTCACAATTAATGCAAAAGTCATCATTACTTTTTCTAATATTAGTTTATATGTGTGAATAGTTGTAAGAGACAAACATGATCCATCAAACAAACAAATTTTTCTGAACGAATCTGATTCTGCATCGGTTTGATCTTCTTGATTTACAAAGTTTGGAGCCAAGACAAGCATTGAACGTGTAAGTAATGAAATTGGTTAAGAAGTTTTTTGTTTTAACACACTAGGGTCTTGATTGTGTGCTAAGATCAACATTGTTTTTATATAAAAACCCAGAATGTTTTTATTTCCACTTTTTTTAGTTGAAATTGCTAAATGAGGATAGATTTATGTTTATAAGTGTGTAGTTGGGAATTCTTTTTGTTTTTTGTAGATATAATCATGCTTTCATTTGCATTTAATGGGGTTCTGCTGAATTTATGATGCAGGTTGGTAATGGATATTCCCGTATTTACTATGGTGGGTGAGTGGAAATGCAAAGAAGAAGAATGGAAATTTGAACCATGGGAAGGCTGGTTTGGTCGTTGTGTACGTGTTAGGCAAAACATGACGTACACGGCATTTGTACGTACATTATGCGAGGTTTTCAGTTTGAAGTGCACCGAATGCAATCCAATAATTAGTTACTGGATGCCGGGAAAGATGTCAGTGATGATAGAAAGTAAACGCCCTCCTGTATACATTGACAATCAAATGAACCTGGATACATTCTTTTTGATTCGTGGTGGGGATCCTAGTGTCACCTTGTTTGTCTCTTTCATTACAACCGTCAAGGCACTCGGGAATACTGTCCCTAGGACCGATGGTGAGAGTTACCGTGTGTGTGGGAGTGCAACGACACCAAATCCCATTGTAGCGGCTTCAAATGTAGATGAAAATAATGAGGCCGTAGATGAGCAAGACGACGTTGAAGACGATAAAACAGATGAGGATGAAGAAGAGGAGGAGGACAACGAAGATGGTGCTGGGTATGATGATTATCAGGGTGATGATGGATCTATGGGGGGAAGTACCCTCGATCCTACTATAGACGGTAGTGAAGGCAGTGGCGAAGATTACGATTACAACAAGTGGAACGATTTAATTATTGAAGAATATGGAATAGGGAATGTTGAGGAGGACGTCATTCTCACTCAACAAATGGTTCAACATCCAGGGGAATTCAGTCGTCTATTGGCAGAGTGTACGTACACAAGTCATCGTGTACGTGGGGGAGATAACTCGGTTGACCGTACACCAACGGTGACTCCAAGACGTACGTGTCAACATGGTTTGTACCAATGTACGTACACAACAGAATGTGTACAAGATACAGGCTGCGAAGGTAACACCGATACCAATATTAATGGTATAGACGATGTCTCTGGGGATGATGTTATCGACCGTGGTATTGGAGATTCCCCAAGTGGGACACTGAATGATAATCGGCTAGTTACTGCACTTGGCGGAGATAACATTTCTCATTCGGGTGACCGTACACCAACGGTGACTCCAAGACGTACGTGTCAACATGGTTTGTACCAATGTACGTACACTACAGAGTGTGTACAAGATACAGGCTGCGAAGGTAACACGGATACCAATATTAATGGTATATACGAAGTCACTATCGACCGTGGTATTGGAGCTTCCGCAAGTGGGACACTGAATGATAATCGGTTAGTTACCGCAGCTGAGGCTTACGAAGTGTATAATGACTTTTCTACATTACATGGTGGCGAGTTGGAGATTCTCGATAATGATGCTGCTCCGGTATTCGATGATTTAGCCAATTTACGAGATGATGAGACACAAGTCGAACTGAGTACGACATGTGAGACTTTGTATGTCGGGAGTGTTTTTAAGAACAGAAAAGTCATACAACAAACAATGTCTTATCTCGCAATCAAACAATGCTTTTGCTACAAGCAACGTAGGTCATGTCCTACAAGATTGGAGATGGTCTGCGTTGATGATACTTGTCCATGGCATTTGACAGCTCAAGTTGTCAAGAATTCAGAATGTTTCAAAATCACATCGTATGATACCACCCATACGTGTGACATCGACACTCGTAAGAATTATAATAAACATGCTAGTTATAAGCTTCTCGGAGAGGTAGTGAAGAGCAGATACAGTTCTACGCAAGGGGGTCCGAGAGCTGTCGATTTACCACAGTTGCTCCTAAATGATCTCAATGTTCGGATTTCATATTCTACCGCTTGGAGAACTAAAGAGGTTGCAGTGGAAAATGTAAGGGGGGATGATATAAAAAGTTACAGGTTTTTGCCTACCTATTTGTATCTTCTTAAATTAGCTAATCCGGGTACGATAACTCACCTACACTCTACACCTGAAGCTGATGGTACGCAGCGCTTTAAGTATGTTTTTGTATCTCTCGGGGCTTCTATAAAAGGTCTGAAGTATATGAGGAAGGTAATTGTCGTAGATGGAACACAGCTAGTAGGACGTTACAAGGGATGTCTCCTCATTGCATGTGCCCAAGACGGGAACTTCCAAATATTTCCAATAGCGTTTGGTGTTGTGGATGGTGAGACTGACGCTTCATGGGTGTGGTTCTTTGATAAATTAGCTGACATTGTTCCAGACAGTGAAGATTTAATGATTGTATCGGACAGACATTCTTCAATATATAAAGGCCTCAGTGTGGTTTATCCGAAAGCTCATCATGGTGCATGTGCAGTACACCTTGAGCGAAATATCTCCACCCTTTACCTCCTTTACATTAGCTGCATCCACATCCATGGAGGCTTTCGTTGCCAACTCCTGTAACACCTGCATAATAGAAGATTATAAATTTAAACAAGCCTACACTATTTTATTTAAAAATATAGTTAGCTTACATTCTTAACTACTGCAAATGGTGAAGGGGGATCCCCTAGGGTGCCCTCAAGTACTGAGTCATCCACTTTACTCTCTGCAACTACATTGGGTACATCTCCCGCATCAACCTGTGGCAGTAGTTATCAACTTCATCGGCTATATACTCTATTTTGTGATGTCTGAAACAATCATTACTTATACGTACACGGGAAATAAGAAAGACAAATGTACGTACACTTACACCGGGTTCCTCGGTGTGTTCAGCCTGAGAAGATGTATCTCTATCATTATCCTCAGAAATTTCTGGTTGCTCCCCAATATTTGCTTCACTCTCAAGACCGGCACCATGTTCTTCTCCCTGAAACAAATATACCATACACGTCTTAAGCTTTATGTGAGTACACATATGGAAAACTACATTTGACTATTAGCAGACCATATACCTGTCCAGATGTTGCAGGTAAACCTGATGGATTTTCTACCATCTCTGTGTCAGCAGTTGGTTTTTCATCTGTCCCTCGCTGTGTACCAACTACGACAGGCTCACCACCATCATTTGGTCCTTTATCCTAAAACATAGTATACCATACACTTCTTAAGCTATATGTACGTGGAGAACTGAAAATAATTGATACGCGTACACTTATGGAAAAACAGTATGTGACTATTAGCACAAGACATACCTGTACAGAGGTTGAAGGTACAGGAGATGGAATTTCTTCCATCTCTGTGTCAGCACTAGCTTTTTCCTCGGTCCCTGACTGTGTACCAACAAGGACAGACTCACCACCATCACGTGCTCCTTCATCCTGAAACATAGTATACAATACACTTCTGAAGCCTATGTGTACGTACACAACTGGAAATAATTGATAAAAATATTTGTACACGACATACCTGATGGGAAGGTGTAGGTCCACCAACTGAAATGTTAGCTACTCCAGTGTCAACCATATCTTCATCTCTGTTCGAAAAATCTCCTCCATCATTTGCAGTAAAACCACCTTCATTGTTGGCTTCATCCTGTACCATAGCAGACAAGTTACAGTTATTAATCTTAATGTACGTACATTTAAAATACTATATATAAATGTACGTACATACCATACCTGGTCATCTTCCTCAGAAGAAGAGTTACCATCAGAAAGCTGAGTAATCTCCGCAACTGACGTCATTATATTCTTCAGCCTTGAAGACTTTCTTGTTCCAGACTTGAAGACTTTCTTTGTAGACATCCTTTTAGATGCCTTCTTCACACTCATCGGTGCCTTAACCACCGATTTATTTGGGCCCTGTGAAGCATGGGAAGTTTTGGTTGGTTCTGTCTTTTTGCCCTTTGGATCTAAGGCAGCACGTATCTCCTTACGGACAAATTTCTTCAAGTCTTCTTGCATTTGTTTATTTTGTGCTTCCTGCCTCTTGAAACACCTCCTAAGTTCAACTACAAACTTCTCAAACTGGGGATCTTCAAAACAATCCTCAGCAGTGTCCTCATTTTCTTCTTCCACAACAGATTTCTGTTTTTTCAAAGCAGGTGCATTCGGGGCTGGTACATTTCTTTTCCTCTTCTTCACACCTACGATAGACCAGTTTAATCATTGATTGGTCTTCAAGGGACAATAATTAGAAAGTATAAAAACAACATTTACACTCACGTATCTCTCCAAGTTGTGGTGGGCGCTCCTGCTTTGGAAATGCAGCATAACCTCCAACCCATTCTTCCTCCTTCCACTCATGACCAGCTAACAACAGTCGCTCAATGTAAGCAATTCTTGGATCCTCAACTTCATCATCCCATGACAGGGATGGAGGAAAAATATTGTCCTCTGGTTTCACAAGATAGGTTACCTCAACCTACACCAATAAGTTTGTTAACCACTTAGAGAATGTACACTTACTTTTTAAATAATGTACGTACATAATTAATTGTACATACCTCTTCAGCAGCCTCACACTCCAAGATGCTGGATGTCCTGATTGCCCGCAGTGAGGCAAGATGATGGATAGACCTCTGAGTAAATGTCCTGTTAGCTTCATCATCAGGTACTAGCTTAGCAAGGGATGTGATTGTTTCGAACGCAAACAGCTGGAGTGCTAATGGGAATCCATGTAGTGCATAAGACCCATCCTTTACACACCTTATCAGTTTTTGAGCATCTGAAGGGGTTTGGAATTTTGCTATCCTCTCCAAAGTACGGGTAAAAGACACCCTTCCCCAAGGGTATTTGCAGAAGAATTGCACGTCCTTCGTCATCTCAACAGTGAACTCAGAAAGCCTTATGGGGTTATTATGGCACCCTATCACACCATCTACCAAGATTATAAGAGATAAGGCCAGCTGCTTCCACCCATCCATGGTTTCCTCCTCCTTCAGCCAGACCACCAAATCATGCACTGTTGGATTCGGCTTCTCCCCAAACTTCTCCTCAAACAGAGTTTTCCAGACACTTTGACTACCAGCTTTAACCTTTAGCACATCCGTCACGTCTTTCTTGTTGGGATATGTCCCACATTCTAGACCAGTTACCAGACTAAATTCTCTTAATCCGAATTTTATTGGATGACCGCCGAAGACCATCCACATCTCATTCACTTTACTCGTCACTAACTGACGACATATTAGTCCAAGAACAAGTTTACCTGAGAAGGAAGACTTGTTAGCAGGTATCCTAAAAAGGTCCCCAAATGGAGACTCGAGAAGAAACTTCATCTCCTCTTTTCCCTTAAGAACTTGTGCTATGTCAGAAAGGTACTCCGGTTTGGAGTACGCGTTCATCTTCGTCTTGACAGGGTACCGGTCTAGGGCAAAGAGTCTAGGTGGTAACTCTTCAACTATAAGATCTTCAGTCGGAGCCACGCTTGTACTGCCTGCAATTACAAGTGATATACAATTAAGTAAGGATGTATGAATTCGTGTACGTACACAGTAATTATCATCATTATATACTCAACATCTGAATTTTGGCGGAAACAGAGATTTCCAATTCAACTTCTCAAATTTTCAAACTACAGATATAGCAAAATCCGGCAACTTCTATCCCTTTAATCAAACAAGCTTTAAGATTCCGATACACCCAAAGAAACTACAAACGGAATAATATCAGAACTTACCCAATTCCTCCGGCGGATTTCTCGGAGGGAGTTTCCTCCTCGGGGATACTCTGAGTTCCACCTTGTCCTTCTCGGGGCCTTCCTGCGTATGCTTCTTCCTAGAGACTACGTCGTTTGGTTTATTCCCAGCCATCTCGAAGGTTGGTATCTCGCCGGATGTTTCTCAGGTCGCCTTCGCCGGAAAAATTGGAACTTTCTCTTCGCCGGTTTTTCGAGTTCAATGCAATGCCTCAAATCAAGTAGCAGACAATTCGAACGGAGATGTCGAAAACGAAGATGGATGAATGAATTCCGTCTCTCTCTCCTTCTTCTTCTTCGTTTTCTTCGACAGTTTCTGCAACGAAATTTTTTTTTTTTTTTTTTTTCAAAACTAACTAAACCGTGTGATGTAAAACAAAAGAAAGCAACTAAACCGAAATTAACTCTGTCGTTTGGTTTTCGTCGTTAGGGGTATTTTCGTCACAATTTGGCTTAACTGCCACCACGTGAGAATGAATTTTCACTTTGCCAAAAGCTGAGACCAAATCTTTTGTTCTTTCCCTCATCTTTCTTGTTTTGTATATGAGAAGCACTATGAAGATGAGAAGCAATGTGCTAACTCCGACGATCAACCCGATGGTGGTTTCACTCACATTATTTCCTTCCACTAAACAAAATAATTGATAGAATACTAATCGTTATCCAAATATCGAGGCAGACTTATAATGTTATTTGTAGAAGAAATAAGGGAAGGAATAACAAACCTAAATCCGCAGCCACCGGTAACTTTATATAAAAATCAAAACCTTTGGTTTTGTAACTACGAATATCATGTAACTCATGTAACCACACCATGCAACCAGATCCACCATTTTGCGAGTCCATGTTTGCAAACGCCAAACAATTGCAATCTTTGAGGCATCTCTCTTTACAGTCCTCAACTCCCATTTTCGTGTCAATTTGCTGTCCAAAATTTGGAAGCTTCATATTTGTCATCCTCCAAAATTCTTTCTCAACGCAGCTTACTTGTGTCTTCTTCCTCTCACAACCTCTATAAGGTTTGTCACTTGGCTCAAACCCTTTGATACAGTTACAAATCGGGCTAAGGTTCATGTCGCAGAACATGTTTAAACCGCATGTGTAGTACTCATCACACTCGTCAACATGAGAAATCCAGTCGATGTGCCATTTGTCTCTCCAGACGAGCAGCTGGAGGACTCCATATTCGTCAATTCTCAACATTGTAGAGAAGGTTTTTTTCGTAGTGGAAGGGAGTATTTTGTTCGGAAAGATACGGGTCATGGGAACTTGATGCGCATCATGAATAAAACCTTGTTGACCTATAATCTCGTATGTGTAGGCTCCACTGGACGGATCCTCTGAGCTTGCCCAGGATATTAAGTTTGCGTTAAGTATCATTCCAGGAAGTAAAGTGTCCGTGGGGGAATCAAAGCTTTGCCACAATACGCCAGTTGGGTCTTTTACCACGAAATTACCGTTATCGAGAAGCTCTGCCACCACCGAGGAATCCCTATTGATCAGGTTCTTCCTCCACAGAACAACGTTACCATCGAGGAGGTCGACGTTCGAATTTGAAATGTTGAGGATTCCGGTGGGACTGGAGAGAGGATGGTCTCTGTTAGCCACCCATACGGCTTTGCTGGGGAATTTTTTATACCAAATTCCGAGATACCAACGATACTTTTCTGGAAACCTCGTTGGGGATCTGAAGAGACCCATCTCGAACAGCTTACCAGGAGACACGAGTGTCTCATTGTTCTCTGAAAACCTCAGAGATATGGATAACGACAAAGGAAGACTAGCAAGCAAAAGCAAAAGAAACAAGTGTTGGAGTCTCAACGCTGAACCTATGAATAACAAGTCCCTTGCCTCAACTCTATGCCAATCTCTGCCCTCCTTGGATTCTAATCGTGTTATCATCTCCTCCGGCATTTGTGATCTCATCTCATTCTGCAAACACAAATACCCAAGTACGTCATTAGATCATTTACTTACTTAATAAGTACTCTATTGATTACACATAATTAATGGAGTCTCTCTGGATCTTCCATTTACAATTTACAATGACATGAGTTCAGTGCCGGCTCAACATTTTTATGGGCCATAGGGCAAAAAAAAATTTTGGACTCTTAGAAATTTTTTTTTAATGTTTTTTTGTATTAAAAAAATTTTCTATGCTATTTTTGTTAAAAATTATTAATTACTAATACTAAAAATAATAAATAAAAAATTTTATAGACCTTTCTAAATTTTATTTTTGTGTTATAATCTAATTTTTTAATATTTTTTAAAAAATATTTTAGAAAATGGGCCCTTAATTATTGGACTACGGGATTGGACCCCTGGCCGTCGCACCGCCCGCCCACCCATCTGAGCCGGCAAGCAAAACTATTGTTGTAACCTTTCGAGCAATTCTTCAACCATTGACACATACAGAAACAGACCCAGCTGAAAGGAAAAAACACGATAGATTCAAGACTCAAAAGCATAGGATCTCTAACCTGTGAGTGATCACTGATCAGTTCTTGTCTCCAGTTTCTTTCATTGAGTTGTCTCTAATCGCTAGAAACAACAAACATCTTCCATGGGGAAATTCAAGCTCGCCAACTCTACTGTTTTCTCTTTTCAAAGTATCATAAATTTGAACTTGGACTTTTTCGTTTTATGGGTTTAACTTTTTAAATGCTGCTGCTGGGCTGCTTTAACTTCGATCTCGTGACGGAGGATACAAGAACGGTGTTAACTTCATGGGCTTTTAGTTCGGGTTACTTAATGGGCTTTACTCTTGTGTTTTACTTGGGCTCCAACCAACATCTACGACGGTTCATCTAGATTCTTGGGGTTTTGGGTAGGGCTGGGCTTTTAAACCGAACCGAATGTACCGAACCGAAACCGAAGAAAAAAAAACCGAACCAAACCGAAAATTTGAAAATAACCGAATGGATACTAAATTTGATAACCGAAATAACCGTAACCGAATCGGTACCGAACCAAAATATTTCGGGTAACCGAAATACCCGAAATACAATTATATTTTCGAAATAATTAGTTATTTATAGACCAAATAATCAAAAATACTTGAAAATCTATAAAAATAGTAAAAATACTAAAAAATAACCGAAAAATATCCAAAAATATTCGAAAATACTCAAAAATAACCGAAATATCCGAAAATATCATAAGCAAAATAACACTACAAAAAAAGTCTTCATTGATAGCACTTGACTATAGCACGGTTTCTCGAATTGCTATGAATGATCATTTTTGAATGCGATTACTATATAATAGCATCTAATAAATGCTATAATAGAAAATTTATAAGCGGAAGGTTAAAATCCACTATTCTACCAATATTTAGCCAAAAATTTACTAAACCACGAATACTTCCAGATTTTTCTCCTTTTTCTCTATACCTAAACAAAATCGCTTAGACCTAGCCACCCATCCCAATTTCGCCCCAACCACACACTAATCTCGCCGCTGCCACCGTCGAAGCTAGATGTAGGTACTAACCATGTCGCTGGCCCCAATTTCTTCCTCCGTCACTTGCCACAATTTTGTCCTCTGTTACATGCTTCTCGTTTCGCCTACCTGTAGAGGTGTTTATCCTCAGACCAAAGTGATCCCGATTTGTTTTCTCTTTATGATTTTCTCTTCTGAATCGATAGCTGGTGAATTAGGGCTTTCTCTCAATTGTTGAAGCTGGCCCCTTCTTCTTCACTGTGGCTCGGCGTCGCCACCATAAGACCCCTAATCATGGCTTTCGGGTAAATCTCTCTTTGCATCTCTATCTTCCTCGCTTACATTTCCAGATTCTGTATCGAAATCTAATTCATTCAACTTTATCAAAAAAAAAAAAGATCTCTCATTCAATAGCTTCAAGAGTATCATGTTCCGATCTACGGTATTGTTCGATCTATAGGAAGAACAAGACGATTTCCTGAATAATCATTTCAGAAAGGAGGAAAGAAGAAGGCGTGAGTAACAGATTCCCTGAATAATCATTTCAGATTTTGTTTTTAACATCTGTATATTGAAAAAAAATGTGTTCTAAATCTCCAAGAAGGATTGGTATGACAGTGTAGGCTAGTGCTACATTCACCAGCAAGAATGTTGGGAAGAAGCTTGTTTCCAGGGCTCATGGTACCAAGGTAATGTCTATTACTATACTGGAGAGTCTAGGGTTCTATGTACATTTGCTTGAGAGTTTAGACCTTTCTAGGTTTGAGAGTTTAGACCTTTTAAGTTAAAAGTTATCTCATGGCCTAGTTATTACGTAGGTATGGAAGCAAGGGAAAAAACCAAATCTTAAACCCCATCAAATTACTTCCAGCTGCTACCAAATGACCTTCCTCTCGATTTAAGTAAGCTCTTAGTGCTAAGAAGTTTGTAATTGTGATTTGGCATCTCATTTTAATGTGGAGAGTTTTGGTTTTGTCCAGTTAACACTATAACCTCAAGTTTTGTGAATAGAAAAACGTCTATTGATTAAGACCACCACTAGGTAACTAGAAACTCTTCATTCAAGGTAACTATTCTTTACTTTCGTAATAATGCCAGAGAATGGCTCTGCTTTCATGTTCGAAGAGAGATCTATTAATAAGATGGTAAGAAACTGTCTTTATTTATTTATTTACGTGGTCATATATAGTTATGTAAAGCTATTTGCTCGTAATTAATAATTGTGGATGTTTGCTTTCAATTATAAGAGACGTCTTGACTCTAATCCATGTTTATTAGTGGCTTAGTTAATGGCCACATGTGGGTATCAAAATGTTGTGGTAATTTCGTGTGGTATAGCTATTATCTTTCCATGGAAGATTTTTTTCTCTCTCTCAGGTTTAGTTCTTTGTTTTAATTCTCAGGTTGTTGGCATTCTCTCTTCTTCATGCACCATCAAAAGTGTGTTCTTGTAGACACTCAAGATGTTGGTAATAACTGTAAGGTCACAGCTTTTATTGGAGGTATAGATCTTTGTGATGGCCGCTATGACACACCTGATCTTGAAACTGTGTTTAAGGATGATTTTCACAATCCTACATTTCCTGTGAGTATATGGTTATTCGCTGGTTGTTTCAAGCTAGAATCCTAATTCCTTATTTACTTTTGATTTGTATTCTATTTCTACTTCCTCAGGCTGGTACTAAGGATCCAAAACAATCTTAGCATGATTTGCACTGAATGATAGATGGGCATGCGGTCAATGCAAGAAGGACGTCATTGTAAGGAGGACATAGAGAACATGATATGGAAATGGCAACAATAGTCTAGAGTATTGGATTAAACTTTGCTAGGGCGGATAATGACCAAGCGATCTTCCTCTTCCAACCTCTTCTTCTATGAACTACAAAGTGATGATTTCAAGGTAAAAGTTATGGCTGATGGCACGTGAATGCTTTGTTTAGGCGGTAAGATTTAGAAAAGAAAATTTGTTTGATCAAGTTAGTTGATTGTGTTTAGTAGAATATGTGATTGTCGATAGGGGAAGTTTGTTTCTCTTTGCCCCTTATCTCATAAATTAGTACTCTTGTTATTTAAGAGTCGTTGATGTATTTATATAAGATTTGGTTTGGATTAGTCTTTTGTAAGACTTTATGTTTTTAATAGATTTTCTATGAAATAAAAATATATTTAAATATATATTTTTGACCAGATTTAATTTATATAAAAATATATCAAATATAGAATTCAAAACGTGTCAATTTTAATTGAAAAAAATAGAATCGATAAAATGCTATAACATAATATATCGTGGCATAAATAATGAGCTACAATTGAATCGAATATAGCATTTAATTAATGTTATGGTAGTGCAACCTATAATAGCATTCCAAAAAATGCTATCATATGGGAAACACCTACCATAGCTGCCGATATCATAGCATTTGTAATTTCGCTATCTATAACGTAAGATAGCAGATGTTTTGCGCTATCAATGAACAATTTTCTTGTAGTGTAACCGAATGGATACTAAATTTTAAAACCGAAAGAACCGGAACCAAACCGAAACCGAACCGAAATTTCAAAATATCCGAATGGATACTAAATTTTAGAACCGAAAGAACCGAAAACCGAATAGACCCAACCGATAACCGAATGGATAACCGAAAGTCCAGGCCTAGTTTTGGGTTCAACTTTTGCCGTAAGGGCATGCACCAAATTTGATCCAAAAATAAATAAGTATTAAGTTTATTAGCTCTCTCTAGAGTAATGAACGTTTTATTGGGCTACGCCCGGATAGTTTTGATAGTTGATATATTTTGAAGTTTGTTAAATATTTGATTATTGATATTTTAAAGTTTGAGAACTCAGTTTTAATTTCTTTTTTTTTTCCAGTTTCTTTAGTATACATGCGAAAATTATGTGTTATATTTAAAGTTAAATATATAAATATGTTCACTAACTCAAGCACATGATAGTTTCAAATGTCATGTCTTCTTTGGGAGATATTTGTGGAGTGGTAGATTTGGTCTTCCCTTGTGTTGAACCTAGAACTTAAAAGCACAAAAGCTGCATGTACTGCTCATCATTACGTGTAGGTGCATGCTCTACAAGTTGAAGAAGCAAAAGAGAAGAGTGTCACATCCAGTTAAGGAAGAGAGTAACAAAGAGTGAGTTTTTGGGGCAACTCTCACACTCCCTTACCACAAAAGATGTCTCCATGACTAATTCAGTTGCACAACACAATGTAGAGATTCTTATTCCACTTCATCCTCTTAAGCCTTCTTTTGAATCTTTTTCTCCATTTTTGTTGCAGTCTTTCTCCAACCTTCTTCTTACTCTTATTTTGTGAACAGATCCTCGACATCCTAGCAGTTAGTTGCTCACAAATTCTTATGATTTAAAACTTTCGGTTTAAATTTCAACTGAAGCCGATGTAAAAATTGGAAAATAAAGTGTGATAGTTTAAAATCCTTTTTGAACCTCCTCCGAGCCTGCCAAAGCAAGGCTAACTTTTTAACTAAATAACTTACCTCTATTACAAACCAATAACGAACCAAATACAATATGGGAATTGGAGTGAAAGTTGGCCAGCACGTAATGTACCTCTACAGTTATGCTTAATAATAGTCATGACATGACTTAGCCCAGTCGAATCCTTTTCTTCGAAATCAAAATCATCGGCCATCATTATAAGATTCATTCAAATAAAAAGTTAAGTGGACATAACAATAATGAATGAAATGGAGTTTAACTATAATATGAGAAGAAAACCTTCAGCTAGCTAAAATTATTTTCTCCGGAACATTCTCTGCAATATCTAAAAGGTAACAAAAATATCCTTTATTTGAAAGGAAATCTTCATAACCCTGTAGATTAATACGATTCGAGGAGAATCAACTACTACTGTCTTCTATAGAAATCCCATGGGTTAGCTTGTGTACCTCACACATCTTTTTTGATAATAAGTAATAAATCCCCAACCATGAACCATATATATTTATGTCTTCCTATTTTAAAAGTGAAAGGCATGAGAAGAGAAGACAAACATGTACCTTAAATGAAGTTCGGAAGTTACATCATGTGCCACCCACAACGGACAACGCTATGCATATCGTGATGAGTGCATGAGTCATAGTCTCTACAAATCAAAGACATAAACATTGGGGAGCAGTTAGTCCCACCTATGTTAGTAATCTTACAATGGTTAGATGTGGACTTTAGAAATATTAATATAACGATTCGTAAAAAGATTAATTAACAACAGAAGTTTAACACGGGGGCATGTATTAACAGAATTGAAAGGCTAACAAAGCCAAGCCACCATGAAAGCTGTGGATGGTATTATAACGGGAACATATGAACGTGAATATATTTGAGTTTTTGCTTATGCCACGTGGCAATCTAAGAAATGAGTTTTTGAAAGCTGATGTGGATGGCTTGAGAAGCCTCAATTAGTTCCTTTTATTAGTAGTAGATTTTGGGAAAAAAATCTTGGAGTTTGAAACTATTTACAATGTCATGTCATTGGCATTAATTTTTTATTTTAAATATCTATACTAGTATTTTTGCAACACTTTGATGACGGATGGGTAAAAATGCTTTCGGGTATATCAGATACCCGACCCGTTTTTAAAATTCCTTCACAAAAAATTTGTTGGGTCGGGTTATATTTAACCCAACTCATACACCGGATATTCTATATTTAATCATTTAGATATTTAGAAGATTTGATTAAGATTTATAATTATGATTCTCTTATCATCTTTGTTTGATTTGTTTTTAACTGTTTTGAATCATCATATAATACATAAAGTAAAAAAAAATCAATTTTTTTCTGCATATACTGTGATTCGAAATTTTAAAAACGGACATATATTATCCAATTGACGAAAATGTGTGTTCAACGTTCTACATCGATTAAAATATTTAGACAATGATTCAGAATCATATCATAAATAAGAACATTAATAAAATAAATGAGTTTTTTGGCCGGACGGGTTTGGCGGGTCGGGTTTTTGAATCAACAATAATAAAAATATTAAAATAACATTAATCTGCCGCTTCAATACGGATTTAATCCTTATTTTTTTAATACCACAAATATTAGACATATTAAATTTGTCTCATTTAAAAAATATTGTATAAAACCAAAAATTATCCCGTGGTATAATGTTACTTAATAACAATATTTATAAAATTTTAAAATATCATTAACATGCCACTTTAATACATATTAAATCTTTAGTAAATAAAAATATAAATGTCTTAGAGAATGATATGATTTGTAAACTTTTATATATAATAAATAATCATTAAATAAAAACAAATCACAGGACGGGTTAAGAAATTACGGAACGGGTTATATTTTGGAAATGATTTATATGGCGGACGAATTTGAATCAATATTTATATACCGCTTTAATACGGGTTAAATCCTCAGTTTATTAATAATTATCTCGTTGACTCGTGGTATACCGTTACTTAATAACAATTGTAAACTATAATATAAATAAATATGTTATAATGAGATACAATTTACAAAATATTTTTATACTAACTTTAAAATTAAATCATCTCGCGGTGTACCGCGGGTTAAAATCTAGTATAGTATATATAAAAAATTAGCATTTAACAAAACTATCCTCAAATCTCTCCATCAATTCTTTCAGAATATTTACTAAAATCTCCAATCCGAGATTTCTTCTATCATTTAGAAGACATATTCTTAAGATTTTTCTTATATTCTATAAAAATAAAAAGTACATTCTATCTAATTTAGAATTTCTTTAAAAAAAAGAAACAAAATCTTAAAATATGGAAATCGAATATAGTGGATTTGATTACGTCTGCAAATTACAGAAGTTGAATTCTGAATACTTTAGTATTGTTTATATCTAAGTGAATAAATTATAACAAAAATTAAAACTTTTTTATACTCCATATTTTTTAGGATTTGTTGGCAAAGTAGACACTTTTTACTTTTTTAGAAAGTAATTTGAAAAATAGACACCTTTCAAAAATAATTAGGAAAATAAGTACTTTTACTTTTTTGTGAGATAGAAGATGAAGACAAAATAGCTCTAATAGAAGAGAATACAAAATAGTTCTAATAGGAATAAGACAAAAATTTGTTAAAAGTCAGATTTGTCCTTCATTTTAAAATGAAGAAAACTTTGAGTGAGTATTTTATTTTGTACAACATCATGGACAACGACGTTGTACACTGACGGTTGTACACTTTCGCATACACCAATCTCGTATACCATCATTTTAAATATTATTTTGTCCACTAACACTTGTACACCACACTATCATGTATATCCACACTAATGTTTGGCAAAGTAGACACTTTTTGGATAGTAAACTATCTCGTACACTCTTAAACCCTCAAATAAACTAATGCCCGTACACCTCGTAGTGTCGTATACTAATGTTGGTACACTATCTCATAGACCATCACGTACACCGACAAAAATGGTTCTCTCTTTTATAGGCGTGGAGTATAATATATGTGAAAGTATATGATGTTGTAAATGGCACACGAGGTGGTGTATAGCGTGACACACATTCTCGTCGTTTTATGTACACTATCAATATCATGTACACCACTTTTTACATCATCTTCATACACCATCATATTTTGTAGTTGTACATTGTCGTTTGTGTACCATTTGTATACTGTCATACCTTATGTATCACTTCTTACATTAATATCATACATTGCTTTTTACATTATTGTCGTACACTACCGTATGTACACCACTTTTAACATTATCACGTACACCTTCAAATTGAGATTAAAATTAAATTCACATTAATAGTTAATTTGAACTTTTTAGATTCACATTAAAAAATTAAAAACTAATATGTTATTAGGATTAAAAATTTTATGTAGAACTTTTAACAAAACAAACTAAAAAAATTTAAGTGAAACAAGAAAGAAAAAAGAATAAAGAGAATATATGTAAGAAACAACAAAAAATGGTAACTATGTCATTACACAAAATACTCTCTAATAGAGAGTTCTATTAGAGGAAGAGAGAGAAAAATGTCTATTTTGCAAATTATTTATGAGAGATGTCTATTCTTCAAATTATTACTCTCAAAGGTGTCTAGTTTGCCAATTTTATCATATTTTTACATATAGATTACGATCAATTTCTTGTTTCAAAACCCGGAAAATTATAGTTGCGC